TAACACGACCACCAGTTTTATTGAAGGGTTATGTGAAACGCCAATCACGTAACATGATTGGTACAGTGTACCCAAATGCATTATATGAGGTTTAACCCTGCATTGGTATTCATGTTAATTTGTTACGGAAGCAAATTTGTTATTGAAAGAAATGTTATACAGACCACACAGTAAAAGATGTTAAAAGTTGAGATTTCGTTAAATATATCCACTCATAGTACACCTCAAAGATTCAACATTGCTACCTTACCTTCTTTAAAGACTTCTTTTCCATAAAATACTTTAAACAACTGCTGCTAATTTGTTATATCCTTAATTACAGAACAAGCAGTTAGTAGATCTGAAAATGGACACCTACGGAAATATGTAAATCAATGGACAATTGTAACAGGACAGGAAAACAGTTAAAATATTATTAGCATATGATTTCAAAATATTTTTATATGTATTTAAAAATAAAATAGTACACATAGAACTTATGTTTTAAAGAAATAAACAGAAACATGACAGCTGGTAAGACTAATAAAATCAAATACTTAATATAATTTTGGTTGCAATTCTTAAATAAGTTTTCTTACTGAATTACAATTCTGTAACTGCTTCTTGTGAAAGACTGAATATGAACATACAGAAAACCTGGGATGGTAATCATTATAATATTTCTTCACTCACAGATAAATACTCTTGAGTAATGAAATGATAAACTTCTACTGAGGTGCCTGTTGAAAATTAACCGAATATCCTCCGCTATTTGGGTCCTGTGTGACTTGAAAGTTGCTGGTTGAGAGGCCAAAAGGACGTAATATCATATTACCCAAGTCCTTCAACTTTGCTAAAACAGAAAATGGAAAAAAGTGAACACTTTTAATATCTAAAGCAAATTTCAAATTAAAGTACTGTGCAAACTTTACACTTTGTTGCCATACAACAATGATTCAAAAACTCTTTAAATAATGGGACTACAGTGAACTCCCAATTATGTGAACTAATAAATGTTAGAAAATGCAGAAATAATAAAAATGGTGCATTCACAGAACTACACAAATTGCTTTACATATCCTTTTTACACAAATGACATTTGAGAAACAGTTTGTAAGTATCAGTTGCTTTGTGAACTGTTCAGACTCCTCCTTGCAGCCTCACTCATTCTCTCTTCTGTTACAAAGAAGTATTAAAAATGTCTGTGTCTGTCACACATTTGAAGCCCACTTCACATGCATCACTCTGTAGCCACTCATTATTTTCATCAATATTTTCAAAACTTCTGATAGCACAGCATGTCAATAATTTATGCTGTCATCTTCATTGGCAAGAGCGCTGAGAAGTTCAGCTCAATAGCACCAATTCACAGACATAATCACTCAATCCCTACCCCGGAATCTTTATCTTCGCTGACTCTCTGTTGTTAACTTCTTCAAGTAAATTGAGCTTTTGTCTTACTGTCAGCACAATTTCCTTACAATTTTCAGCCATCTTACTTAAGATCCAGAACTGTTAACCTCCCCACCCCACAACCAATACTGACTGTAAACGCACAAAAATGATAGGGTACTGTTCAACCATATCTTCTTCACACCCAATCCTGCCACTCCTCCTCACTTCTGAAGTGGACAGTACAGTGCAGAGATTCAAAGCCTAGTCCACGCATGTCATCGTTTAAGTAAACATGTCACGCACAGAACTGTGCACGAATGATCAACGTACTGAATAACGTGTATATTGATAATTGGGAAATTGGGAGTTCACTTCATTTCAGCCATACAAAATACTCATGCTAAAACAAGAAAGAAAGGAATCATGTATTCCAAATACTTTACTAATTTACATACATCACTGGCCTTGGTATTTATTTATTGCACACACAAATATATCATCACAAATAACATACATGGATAGATTTAATTAAATGTATACCATATCAAAAACATTTAAAATATTAATGGCCTCTACTATATCCAAAAACAATTATTTGTTATGATAAGCTATTTTCCAGAATAAAATATGACTCACTAATCAGATGCAGGTCTGCAATGTCAGAGATAATTGAAATAACAGCAGATTCAGAGATGAAACATATGAACACAAATGTCCCCCCCTCCCCCAAAAAATTACATGTTTATTTTTATGCTTACAATAGGTAGCACTCATAAAAACAGCTTGAAGCCAGATCTACCTATGATATGACTAGATGCTGTCATTTTGAATTCTTTGTTAAAGAAGTAAGCACGTGCCCACACACAAGCACACAAGTAAGAGTTCTGATCTAGGTGTGGTGTATATTAATAGAAATAGTGATACAAACTGAACCAGTGTAAATGGGTTTTCATTCAAATCTCTGCTACACCTAATGCTCAAATTAAATTAGTGTTGTAAACTTTGCTTATCTACTTAGTTAATATCACAGTAATACAATGTAAATCACAGCATAATAGACAGATGACTCTGTAAATAGTTCAATAACCAAGATTGTTTAGACTGCTGGAAAAAGCAAAGTACTTTGAGTATATCTCCTGGTACTTATGGACAATTCATTATTATATTTAAAGCAAACAGTTTTCACATTTACAATTTTAGCATACTGGGGCTAGAGATCACAGTAAAACTTAAGGATCTCCTGGAAACCATAAACAGAAACCAAAGGATTCTGCAGAACACAGTTTGGGACTAACTGACTATGACAAATAAATATGGTGTCGACTTTGAAACTTACCTAACATTTCTGTTTTCATGTGTTCATTCCTCTCATGTATCTGTTCAGACAATCTCTGCAACAAAAAATTGTTCAAATTGACAAATAATACCTCACAGTGACAACATTTCTTGGGCTACTTAATGATCCTTGTCCCCTGCACAAGTTTAAGAGCATTAAATGGCAAGGTTATAGCAAACAACAAATTGGAAAGGATACAGGATGTAAATTGTCTGAAGAATTTTTTTTAAAAAAACTCATTCATAGTAGCCATTCTCTGCTAACCTCAACACTGAAGCTACAATGGAAAATACTAGTAGATGCAAAATAAAGATAAAGTTTCCACTGTGCATAAGCATCATGGCATGAAGACGCAAGAACAGACAGCGTTAAATCTCCACAAGTTCTTAAATTTGGCACTAGATGGAGGTGAATGGTGGGCTAGCTGTAAGCACCAGCTGTTTAACTCAAACAAAATAAACCTTAGTACCAATTGGTTAGATGACTGGGTGGGCCCACGAGGCAGTACAGACATGGTAGTGAAAAGAAAAATTCCTGTCCATGCTGGAAATAGAACTCTGATCATCTAGCTTTTAGCAGGTCACTCTACAAAGCTATCCTAGCCCATATAACATAAGATCTTATCAAAATTCAACAGAGAAGCTCACAATTACATACAATTTTTCTCATTACCATGCAGGCATAAGAAAAACACATACACATAAATATTCCTATATATTACAGCATTTCAAAAGAAGGATCAAAACATAAACTAATGAACTGCACCTTATATTGACCATCATGAGACATGGCTATGGGGACAAACCCTTGTACAAGAACAAGGGAGAATTTAGGGATTGGCTACCTGTTCTACAATTTAAACATCAAATAATTTTGTCTTGATATAACTCACCTTGCTTGCATATAAGGCTTCTCTATAGAGTGGATCCAGTTCAAGGACTTTCTGATAATCAGCCAAAGCTTCATCTAGTTTTTCTGTCTCTTCTAACAACTGTGCACGTCTGAAGTATGCTTTCAAATAGGCAGGATTCAATTCAACTGCCTTGGAACAATCTTCAATAGCAGACAGTTTCAAACCCTGAACATTAGAAGCACATTAATACAATAATTTCCCATCATATCCATACAAGTAGAATGACCAATAAAATTTTAAATAATAACCGAAGAGTTATAATAAATGCAAAACAATATCCACCTCAAAGAAGCATGGAGGATAAGCAGTGAAACATTATGGAAGTTCCAAAACCATGCAAAATTTGGAAATAACTGGTGCAAGAACCATAAATCCTTTTTATGGACACAATGCAGTTATTTTATGGTGACATATATGCATATGTACATACACATAGGCCTTCCATTATTAATAAAATAAACTGTACTTATAGTGAAATTATAGTTTTAGTCACTTTTATGATGATGCACTTGTGCCACACTAACAAATGCTCACAATACCAATTACTGCCACACTAGCAGCAGAATTTTATTTCATTTATGCTTATTACACAATACTTAAAATATGTTAAGCTAAACCAACCTAACTTAACCCAATCAGTCACTGAATTCAGATTTATTGTATAAACATAAAATGTGGATTCTCATATAATTGATCTGATATATTGGCATTCATCAGATACTAGAGAAAAAATTGCAGACAAAAGGAGAGTACATCAGCTATTTATAGCCTTCAAGAAAGCCTAAGATTTGTTTAGGAAAAAAGTATTATACACCATTCACATGGAATATGGTGTACCCATGAAACTAGTTCAGCTAATTAAGACAGGCTTATATAAAACCTACAATAACAGAAAACAGCACTAAGATGATTAACTATCAATTGACACTATTATGTGTTACTGGGGAGAAAAAAAGATAGAAAATATTTACCAATTTCACTTTGGCAGCAGCACGATTTGAATACATAACTGCACGATCTTTGTCAAAAGTTAAGGGGCATGTCCTCAATGCCAATGTGTAGCTTTGTGCTGATCCTTGGTAGTCACCAGCCTTGAACTGTTCATTTCCTTTTGACTTGCATGTTTCTGCTTCCCTTTGCAATCTCTTTAAAAAAACCATGCACACAAAGTTAACAATGAAAAGATATACAACACAGAAGGACTGTGTTGCAATATAGTAACATTTTATACCGTGATGCAGTAACATTCTACAATGAAACCTGGATTACAAGAAGAAAAGCCTGTAACAGAAAATCTCTCATCTAAGAATATGTACAGTACACCTAATTCCACAATGTTTGAAAGATGAGGTAAATATTACCACCACCCTTCCTCTCACAGTCCATTTGGTGATGACTGTGTCCTATCAAACAATTTTTATAATCTATAAATATCATCACCAATGCTTTCCCATATTCTCCGTTCTTATAATTCAACTTATACAAAAAATTAGATCTGTAGTCACACCAAGGGCTGCTAATCATGCAGTTTTCATGTGTTTGGACCTGCAACAAAGGCATTCCAGGTACAGCAATTGCACTGCAGTAATATGACTGCAACTTGTTATATCAGCAGACTACTGATATCTATGAGAATGGCAGTCACTACACAAAATCTGAATGGGGTCTAAATGACTTTCTGTGAAGTGATTAAATAATCTCTGATTAACCACTTTCTGGTAGTTTTACATAGTACCTCAATTATACATAAATAATGGCTCATTTACAGGTTATTTACTGATGCTATATCAACAGAAGAAGTTATTCCAACATCAAATAATACGAGGGTTACTTCAAAAGTCATGGCAATTAATTTTTTGGGGGCAAACACGTTATATTGAAGAAAGTTCAAAATATACTTATGAAAGGGCACAATATATTCCTCCGATTGGCATAGTCAGATCAGGCAGGTGTGAATGGGTGTAGGTATAGTAGGCAAGAGAAAAGGCACATTATGGAATGACCGTTTTTTTCATTCTTTAAGCCTCAAAAAATTCAATTGTGATTAAAAAAATTCAAAACTTCAATGTGAGTTAAATCAGAATTCTTACATTAAGAGTAGTAACCTTCAAAGTAGTCTCTGCCATTGACGAGGAAGATGGCGAATACCATCGGCTTCACCATCTCCAAATCTTGCCATCTCACGCCGAACTGCATTGGAAATGTCCTCTCGTGTATGAAAGCGTTTTCCTTGCAATGGCTGCTTCAATTTGGGTATTAAGTCATAGTCACATGATGAAAGGTCAAGTGAATATGGAAGATGGTGCAGTACTTCCCATCTCCAACATCATAAAAGATTCTTGACAAGAAACGGTCATTCTGTAATGTGCCTTTTTGCTTGCCTACTATACCTACACCCATTCACAACTACCTGATCTGACTACACGAATCGGAGGAGTATATCGTGCCCTTTCATATGTATATTTTGAACTTTCTTCAATATAATGTGTTTGCCCCCAAAAAATTAGTTGCCATGACTTTTTAAGTAACCCTCGTATAATGACATAATTACTGTGGAAGTAACCACACTATTATTTAAGCTTAGTATATTATCTGAACATAGAATACATTTTGCTCCTCATAATTTAACATTTTCTGACTATGGGATTTTCAGCCCAATGTTACTGCACTATACACAATGTTATATAAAAATGTTGCTTAAAGTAAAAATGCTATAATATAAAAATCTACTCTCTGTCTAATTTTGTTCTAGCAGTTCAAAAAACAATCAAATAACCTATAAAGCAAAGCACCATATACAATGAAAAAAATGTCAAAATATGATATGAAAATATGTCCTCCACCACCTTGCTGCTTTCCACTACAGATACAAAACCTATACATTAAGTAATTATGCAAGAGTGGAGTAAAATCCAGCTCTGGCCTAAATATGTATTAATTCTGACAGCCTGATTGGGGCTGTAGCATGGAATGCAAATTACAAGTTTTGATTTATGGCTACTCTGTATTCTAAGCATATTCCCCAATATACATATCAATACATTATATACCTCCTTCTCCTCCACACTGTATGTAATCTCAAGGTCCTTCAAGGCTTCTTCGTCAATGAAATCATCGTCAACTTTGACATGATTTTCTTCGTTGTCGGCTTTATTCTCAAAAACACCAGCTGTGACCTCTTCCTCGGAACTGTCCACATTATTGCCCTCATGATCTAATTTTCGTCCGTCGCATTTATTAACATTACCATCATTTTCTGCTGCAGACTTAATATTTGCACAGTCTAGTTCTTTGGTCAATTCATTGATTATTTCTTCATTGGAAGGGATTACGTACTGTTTACATGTTTCATTATCATCCAGTGACACCAATTTCTCTGCCATTCTTGGTTTGATTTGTTGTAAATTATTTTTTCACTAGCTGGTGAAATATTAAAAATGTTTGACAAAAGACAGTGAGAAACATAACCTTACATTGTGAATCAACGCAATTTAGAATAACCTAAACTTCGCTGTTCGTGCACGTTTAAGAACACAAACTTGGAAATTAAATATTATCTGTACAACTTTCACTAGCAGTTGGTTATTTCAGAACATCCAATAGTAAAAACAGAATAAACTACTACACGGTCATGAACATCTCTTGCAACAAGAATCGACGCGTAACCAGCGACTAAACAATCGACCATATTTGTAACCATAGTTTCTCACATAGATCGATGTTAATTTATCGAATCACATAGTTACATTGGGCGCCATTACAAATGCTTGTATTATCAACGTCATAGCATCAAGGGAAAGGGAGGAGCAAGACGGCTTGTACGCTATTGCTTCCCTTCCTTCCCAGTACCATTAGTTGGTCACCAACGTATTTACCGCCTTTGCGAAAAATTGCCTCGACCCATCTTCCAAGGATACATCCATTCTAATACACAGTATGAAAGCATTGGCCAACATTTTTGTTAAGCCTGTTTTTGGATTTTACGTATTTCATAGTGAATACGGAATGCAGTCAACTCACTGGTGACATCCAGAGTGTCATCTATGCAGATTGCTACAACAGTGGGAAAGTTTTTAGAATTGGGCAATGTTCATATGCCAGTGTTTGGCATGACGTCCTATCGAGGAAAAGTCAATTCTCTGCTGAGACAGTATTTTTAATGCTCAATGAAGATTGGAGCTATCTTGCAACAAGCATACCCATTTACTACCATTTTTATTTTCTATTGGTTTCAGTGTTTTTGACCACCAGTTCAAATGACCTAATCATCAGTGTAACAGTAAGTTTTGAAGCTTTTCTGATGAGTGCACCAAAATCCTCGCAAGTAAACAGCCACATCAAAGTTTACTTGAAAACCAATGTTTCAGAGACCCCTTTTACCATCATCAGGGTTAACCCTGATCACCCAAGAGGATTTTAGTGCATGTGTGCTAAAATCTGTAACAGTGATCCATGCCCAACACAGAACCCAGGAGGATCCTACTGATGACAATATAAAATCTTTGAATACATACAAAATAACTGAAACGGTACAAACAACTTCCTGATGATGAGAAGAAAAGAACAGTGTGCAGGGTTTAATTTTCCTTGCTGTAGTACATTAAAAATGAGACCCATCTTTTACAAGGTTAGTCACACAAGCACATAGTAATGGGTTTTCTGTAAGATCATATAGTGGAAACTGGGTAGCTAAATAGGAAGGTGTGTCACTGTTCACTGATTTTCGTGCATGACCAGAGAAATCTCTAAAATGGCAGGACTCTTGGTTTGTAACATCCACAATTGGTATTAACAAGACTAATAATAGAAAAGATGAGTATGATGATTGCTATTAGTAATATGCAGAAAACACTAATTTTCTGGGCTTTTGAACAATATCACTCCATGTAGTTTGTCAACATGATTTAGTGAAGTGAAATGAAATGAATGTAGAGTGTAATTGGAAACATTGACCTCAAACTAATACCAGTCTTCCTAATAACAACAGTCACTGCTATGGTTCAAATTCAACATATGATCATACAATAATTATTTTCTGCATTATTCAGTTTCAAGCTGATGCAGTGTGTGTATATCAATCAAGCAATTAAAAAATAAATAAAGAATTTACTGCACACTGAAAATTCTTTGAAAGTTGCCGGGTATAGAGGTATTACAAATATTCGACAAAACTTAAAACTACTGTGCCAAATAAATGTATTTTAAAATACAAAAATAAATAATTAGTAGGAAATAATGTCAAATTAAAGATACACTGATATGGCATGTTACACTTGGACAACAGACTAACCCAAAACAGACCAACCAGAACTAACACTGGAAAAGTTGATTTTGTCACATTTTTTATCACAGAAAAGAACATAATAGCCGGCCGCAGTAGCCACGTGGTCTGAGGCATGGACCTCATGCGCCTGGCCACTGGGACCGTGGGTTTGAGTCCCACTAAAGGCATGGATGTTTGTCCGCATCTTTCTGTGTTTGTATAGGTAGAGGCCTTGTGTTGGGCTGATCACTCATCCAATGAGTCCTACCATTGTCCAAATAGATCAAAATGAATAAATAAAAAAAACCTTGACACCTATGGGTAAAAGATGAGAGAAAGAAAGAAAGAAAAAGAAGATTATATAAGGTGCAGTTCTTAAAATTAGCATGGAAAGCATGCTGTTACATCTGAGTAATGATAAACTGTAGACTGAAAACCACTGATTGGTTTATATCTCATCACATAGAAATCCTTGCTACAGTGCAACCAACAGCTGTCAATTATCTTGCTTATGAATAATATAGCATAGCAGTGTATCACTCAGGTGTTTGGTCATGATAATGAGTTAGTGGTCCCAGATGCACAATTTTTGTGCTTCTAAAGCAAACTATAGTAACATATACAATATATATATATATATATATATATATATATATATATATATGTATAGGAAATTTATATACAGGAAAAAGATAAAGTAACTTTCATGTGATAATTTTTTGTACTTTTAAATCAGTGATAGAGTCATAACATGAATAAGAAGAAATTCTATTTAATGGAAAACAAAATGAGGACTTGTCTCAAAAATAGAGGCAATAAATTATGAGTAATAGTTCTAAAGTCCAGACACAATTCATTCATATCATTTTACTGTAACTCCATATTTGGTTTCAGATGTGCTACAATATGTGGATTAACAATAAACTGAATTAATAGCAACTCAAACCATAAGCCATATCCAAAAGTAGGTGGCAGAGGTTCTTTACACATTTTGTTCAATAAAAATATTTGGTAACTACATACCAATTCATACTTGTTAGGCAGTATTAACTGTCCATTTACCAACAAATTTTAAGTCTGATCATGATCATATGTAAAGAATATCTTATAGTTGTCTGTGTAATTCCTCGGCAAGTCAACATTTATATCCTTGGCAGCAAGGTACACTGCACCTGTTGCCATGCTGGTTGTTAAACGCAGAAGGGATAGTTTCTGTAGCTTTGGTGCAGTCTCCTTTAACTGTGCAATAAATCCTGGTTTCAGGTATTCCCAGCTAAGCCATACGGAACCCACACACACTACTGGAAGTCCTCTTGCTTCACTCAGCAATTTCTAGAGCAAAAGGAAAATCGACATCATGTGAAGACTATTATTAGTTTGCATTCTGCATTTTAGTATAACTTCTCACTGAATGGTGTTTGATAAATGCCAATGCAAGCAGAGGCCAGGAAAGTTGATTTATCTTGAGAATCAGTTTTCACTTTGTCTGGGTAACTTCAGCACTGCTAGTATGATATATCAACCAACCAATTAAATGCAGTGATCCATACAATTACAAATATGTGCATTACTTAGTGACAGATACTCACACTGTCTACTTGAGGAAGAACTGCTGTTACATGGCGAGCTAGCAAACGACCCGCCTCACTAAACAGCCATTGGGAAAGCTTGTCTCCCTGAATTGCTGCCTTAGCCAAAAGTTTACACAGGCCAGCAAAGTGACTCTTGTCAAATCTGCTATAGCAGTGGTCTAGTAGGTCAAATCTAAAACACAAAGGTTCACTAGTTTTCATTTGTTTTGAAAGGAAATGAAGGTTGTTAGCAAGAAAATAAATCTAAGATGTTCTTTAGCCTATTCTGAAAGACAAGTTTACATAGGTCTGTGTGTTTACCTTCCCACCACCCACCCACAATTCCCCCTCTCTCACATATCAAATGCTTTTGAACAATAGGATTGATTTTCACGCACTTTGAAATTTCTAACATCAGTAATATAAAAATGGCTTTTCAGTCTTTGTGGTGGAAGCAACATCAGCCTAAATTATAAATTAATGTAGTCTTGAAATTTGAAATGAATGAAATCACTGAATACTACACAATTTTTGTTAAGGTAATTCTTTTGTAGAATGTAAAACGGTATGGTAGCTTGTAAAATCTATATTTAACTTTCTGCTTGATGCTTATAATTAATAATCCATCTGAGCTAGGATATAAAATGTTGTATGAAGATAGATCAAACATACATGCAAATTATGTATAAAACATTCTTTAACTATTGCAAACATGGCATCAATGCAAAACTGTTTTTACAATGGCAAATTTTGTGTAATGAGAATCTGTATTAGAGGAATCCTACTAACATAAGATACCTCATTTTTATGTATCAAATAGAGACATGTCCTACCATGTACTGAAAATATTTTTCCATAAGGGCACATGTACTACATTCCTATTGCAGTACCTTTATAACATTTCAATTTGTTTAAATGTTTAATTACATGTATAAAATTTATACCAAAAAGCATGAAAAAATTCAAGCTATAGACAGAAAACAAACTTCATCAAAATTCTTCAAAAAATTCTCTGATCTCTTGTTATGAAGAAATATGGCTTCCCTTACTACAGGTAATAATATACAATGGGAATTATTCTAGAATGGTTTATTTTGGAGATTTTAAGTTGAAATATTGGTGTGGAAACAAATTTCTGTTCAAGGGTTTTCATGGTTTTCCTCATTCCCTCCAGAAAAATGCTGATATAGTACCTTAAAATAGCCCATAAATGCATCATTCATAATACTCATGATAATTAGCAGGGACCAGCTTAAGGAAATGATACTCTTTGTCAAAAAATTTCCTGCCTTTTTGTACAAGCCAATGGTTCATTACAGTGTTCATAAAAGCCCACCTATGGGCCCTGTACTAAGCCAGATAAAATCAGTTAACACACCTTGCACTCTATTTTCAAGGTCTACTTTAACACTAGACTCCTACAGACTGGACAACCAGGGTTCAATCATCGAAGAGGGCAGAGGATTTTTCCTCTAGCCTCTGCATCCAAACTGGCTCTGAGGCCCACCCAGCCTCCTATTCAGTGGGTACCAGGGTCCTTTCCTGGAGGTAAAGCATGACCAGGATGTGATGCTGACCACTCACCCCTGTCTAATGCTGAGGTTAAGAATGAGTAGGAGCTATACTTTCTCTCCCCCTCCCGCGCCTACATGGCGTATAGTGGGACAGCTTTACTTTACTTTTACTTCTATCTATCCACAGGTTTCCCAATAAATCCACTCACCTATTCTTTATATCATAATGCTCCAGAATCACTTTCCAGACGACTTTTGTTGGATGTGGTGGTTGTGCAAAGTTGTCCTGCTCATCAAAACATACCTTTATTGCTTTGTGTGAGATCCACCAAGCTGGAATCCAGAACACATACTTCATAATCACTGAGATGCATGACCAGTTTAAGTAACTGTTATAAATAACAATTATTTGGCTCTAGTTATGGTTTACTGAGCTTTCATCATTTCTGCTTGCTGGCAATCATGAGGAGTCCATTTTTGAGGCAAACTTCATTAATCCCAAATGTGGTGATGGCCAGAAGACAGGACAAACAAATTAACATAGGATGCAAATAATGGGGTGGGCCTGGTATTTCTAGATATTCTATGGTGTAGGGTCATTCTTATAAAACTGACAGTTATTTAATAAGTACATATTCCCCATTCTTATAGAATCTGAAGATTCATTACCATGTAAACCACTGACTCTATCCTTTACCAGATGAATGATGTCCACACCCTAACACACCATTTCTTAAAGATGAATTTTAATATCATCTTCCTATTTATAACTAGGACACTTTCCTTGAGATTTTCCAACTAAAACCTTGTAAAAATTTCTTGTATCTATATATATATATATATATATATGCTACATGTCCTGCTCATCCCATCCTTCTTCATGTCATGAGACTAATATTAGGTGAGGAGTATGAATTGCATTCTTGACCTCAATACTAGATGGAGGTGAGTAGTCCGCTTCATCCTTGGCTGCTTTACCACTGAAGAAAGAACACCTGTACACACGGGAAAGGAGGCTGGGCAGGCCTGATAGCCAAAATGAAAATCTTGGGCACTGGGTACTCTCATGACACATGACAAATATTCCTATCTTCGTCCTTACTACACAAAGAGATGCTAGAATGGTCATACTGTACTTGGAGACATAAATCACAAGAACATACATTAACACAGATACTCACCAGCACCTTCATCTCCCATAATGTGGCCCCATCCTCCACATCTGTGAACAGAGCCATCTGGGTTGTGCAACAAACAATTAGAGCCAGTTCCAGCAATCAACACAATTCCACCTACAAACAATGAAGCATACAATTAGCCATTCAACAATCGACAGAAATGCAGAAGCACTTAAAGAAAATATTCGACAATTGATTTTGGCAATTTCCCAAGAAGAGCTTGGTCGAGTATTTCTAAACATGTTAACGAGATGTGAAGCTTGCCTGCAAGCACAAGGAAGTCACTTTGAACATCTTTTGTGATTTAAGGTAAGAACAATAAATGTAATAACATGTATTAGTGACGAGAAATATTCGTATTTCGCTGTTACTAGCGGCACTGAAACTGATTCGCCGGTCACCCATGGAAGAACGCTCACAACTCCCACCCACATCAACAGAGTGCCAGCGGACCACGCAATCCAAGCATGACTGGGGCCTCATAAATTGTAGACCCGGTATTTGGGTGTATGAAAAAAAATAATGAACATTTGTCAAATCAAATAAGCATACAAATGTAGTTTCATGAATAATTTTGTTCATACACCCTTCTGGCATGATGTCATCAATATAGTAACCATGGTAACTCAACATGATTGCACTTCATGAAATTCCACCAATAATTTGAATTAGTAAAAAAAGACTAAGGGAAATATTATTTTAACTGATATAATTAAACAACAAATGATACACAGTAAAGTGGCTAGTGTACTTGAATAATAAATCTCTTAGCATGGAAAAGGTTAATACAGGTACATACCATTTTCTAGAGCAGCTGCTATGGAACCAACAGTGTCGCTGCAGACCACATAATTGCTGCTTAAGTTGGGGAAGTTTTTCTGTAATTCTTCTTTCAACTGTTCATTAGTTTCTTCTTGTTCACAGCCACTCAGGCTCATGCCCTACAATATGTATGCATGCAACAGTTTATCTCTTAATTGTTTAAAAAGTCTCATCTTTATGCCAAAAAGGGGAAAACGGAAAGATGGGGAGGGAGAGTGAAATAAAGAATGGGAAGACTAAAATAAATAAAAATAAATATTCTGACATATACATGGACACAGAAATAAGAAATACTGAAAACCATGAGAAAAGTAAAATTGATAACAGGGTGGCTAGAATTTGATGCAGAATTTTCAGTGTTTCTCATAAAAATGGTGTAGATCAGTGTTGATTTTTCAGTAATTTCAAAACATGGAACTAGTGTGTATACATTGGGGACCTCAAGGAAACTGCTTAATATGAAACAACACAATTTATTGATGAACTATGATCAAAATTCCAGATCAAATTCAAACCATGTAGGAACATATACAAAGAGATGAAAAGACCTTTAGATAGAATAGGTGAAGACACATACCTGAAGTGAGCACAGAATTATAAACTTACAGGGCAAAGAGTAAATGGAAGATAAAGGAGATACTGGAAACAGGATTCTGAGGCTGTTGTGCTCATTATATTGGACACTGTGTTATGAAATATTGGAATTACATGCTATCACTCCATTCAGAATGGAAAAGAATGAATTTTAAACATTCTGTTAAACACCAGGATTCGAAACTGTAGTCGTGTACAGTACTGGACCCTTTGGCCAGAAAGCCTGAGAACTAAGGCTTTTTTAATTTTAAGATTTTGGATCTTTATGTAGAAAATTTTTAATACAGACAAAATAAATAATAAAAATATATTAAGGTATGTTTTATCTACTAAATTATACAATATAAAAGTTCTTCTGTTTTCAGATGTTTACCAGCATAATATCATTTTACACTCTCAAAGCACCTCCTAACTTGTATTGCCTAATTTTAGGTTATTACATTTTTCTTTATGATGGGAAGAAATATAGATTTTATGTCCTCCCAGATGTTTATGCTGGATATGGGATGACACTATATTAGCACCACCCTAGGCTACTATTCCAACATTTACATTGTCTGTTACTACCTCTGTTAACAAGCATGAAAGACAACAAATCAACGTGTCAGACTGTTGCACCACTGACCAGTGCATTAAGCGGTTTTTGTAGTGGCACATTTGCTTCATACTTGGCCTGTTCAACCATCTTGTTAATTCTCTTCTGACATTCTTCCATGCCCAGCACCTGTAATATAATACAGAACTAACTTACTCCACAGAGCACATTTCATCTTGACAAGTGCATTTTCTGTAAGTGTAAATTGAACTCATGGTAGGGAAATTGAATCTGTTCATCCAATCATGTTTCATTTCTGAAAGATTGTAATTGAAATTTGGTGCTGAGAATGCACACTTAACATTGTCAAGCAAATTTTATGTTGAAAATCAGTCCAATACCCCATGATTTACAAGAAAGTCAAACCAAATATTTTTTTAAGTCACTGTACAAAAATGGTACAGGACATAGGATATAAAAGATAAAGTTATAAATGTGCTGAAACACTACAGCACTAAGATGTGTGGGGAACAAAGGTAAAGATTAACATATTAACCCAGGAGGAGGTGAGAGGTCAGATTCAGTTTGGATGTGGCAGCAGAAAGAAATATCCTTTCCTGTACTGAAAACAGAATCCTTATCATCCTACCTCTGGTCAGTGATTTCACTGAGTGAGGTAATGCAACTCACACATCATATATAAAACAGAGAATGCAGTTCTTATTAGATTATACAAGTTTTACTTAACTGCTGTTTAAATAATATTTCCTCTTTGTAGATCAGATTTGGAGAAATTTTAAGCAAAAAATTAATGCCTCAAACACAGCGAAAGTGTTAAATAAAAACACATTAAAATTATTAGGGCCAACATACCCAGTGATTTGTGTGAGGTCCAGCAACTTGTACTAATTTCTCTCCATTCCCATTGTACAATACCACGTTTGAGTGTGTGGTACCCCTGTAAAACCAATATCACATCAGAATAATCTTTAAACACAGCAATAAATAAAATCTAGCACTGCATTTGTCAACACCATTTTCCGCTTGTCAGTATTTCCTACGTGGCCACACAATCAGTGGCTTCACAAGTTACACTCTTTACCAAATATCATTATGGTGGCTTAATTTAGATGGAAACAACTAACAGGGCATGGGAGAAATGGCTCAGAACAGACCCTGACCCATCGTCCTACGTAAGCAATTAAATGCGAGCGGTGAGGATGGAGTGGGCGACGCGGAAATATCAAAGTAGCTGTTTGTGTGGCGCTGTCCTTGGTACCGGCGAAGCGGTCACCCCTGACGGCGGAAGTCCAAGCAGTTGACGAGATCAAACATTCTGATATTTTCGCGCGAATGGCTGTGCTGGCCGTGCAGTACAAAACAAACGATTCCCTCGCTTCGTATGACCGCCCGTGCAGCTTATGCAGCTCGCTTGTTATCGCTTACGTAGGACATTGCCTCAGGCGTGGGCATTACCCTACACATTTTAAAAACAGTATCGCCCACACATCGTTAAAGTTCACGGGCACAGACGATGCAACCACGGCTCACCGTAGACCAGCAACGGCCATCAGACCAGTGGACCAAAGGCAGTGCCCAATATAATACACCAACTACTGTGCAACCAACATCCAGTGAAGTGTTACTAAATATGATTTTGTAAAGAACTTTCCTTTAGGCTCTGTTAAAATAAACATAATATTTTGATTTATATCATATGATTTAACTTGTTTTTTGCTACTGACAATGACCTCTTGAGGTCGAAATGCGTTTGGCATTAGTGTCCTTCATAGTGTAAACAGTTATGTTTGTATGCATATTTTATATTCCAATACATCACACGGTATGCAAGGTTTTAAGATGAATCAACTAACCAACAGCTGCTTCCATCTTAACTAAAGATGATGAAGACTTCAGTGTTGTTGCACCGTGTAGTCTCGTATAAGTTTATCGACGTGTAAGTGGCGCTTACTGCCTCATCAAGAACTTAATGATGGGGTAGCAAGCACGTCTGAAACTTCGGTAAACTTCTACCAGATTACAGATTACAAGATGCAACAACCCAAAAGACAGTCATATCCATATTCGCATCCGTGAGAACCTCAAAACACACTTAATTAAAGATGATCATGTCTAGACGGATGTGTCTATCAGATAAAATCTTTGAGCGTTGGTATTTATCAGTTCCTGCAACTTAAAAATACTTGTGGATGGTCCAAATCGCATATCAAGGATCAAAGTTCGAAATGAAAAGACGACAGACTCTTTATCTAATCAAGAATGAAATAAAACAAAACATTAAACCGCGCTATAAATCTCTCCTATTATTGCTATTATCCGTTGATTCTGCTTAATTAACTTCAGACCTATAATCTTCATGTTTCGGGTTGATATGATTTGGTTGGCTTTATAACTTGGAGACAGTCAGGGATATATAGAGGATTTACTTAATGATGATACTTTGGACAGATAGTAGCGATTGTTACTTTGGATAAATGATATTTTTCGGTCCAAAGACGGCTAGATGTAATCCCGTTCGATTACCAAAATTACGACCAAACTATAGAAAACAACAAAGAACAGTTCTGACGGTTTTTTAGTATATTTCCGAAACGTGCTCTTCTTTGATCCGAGGGCGACTGAACTCGATAAAATACTCTGGGGCAACGATTAGTGTGAGTTCTGGGCAGAAACTTAACGTTTCGAAGACCTCTGCCTCCATCATCACTTCCTTAATGATGGAGGCGTAGGTCTCGTAACGTTGGCCTTCTGTCCAGAACTCACGTGGCTTGTTGCCCGAGAGGATTTTACCTAATGCTGAATTCTATTGGGAAAACCTCTTGGACTGCGAACATGGCAGGACGGTACAAACCCTTAATTATGATAATCATCTAAATATTACTTAAAAGATGGTCCCTATCACTAAGAAGTCATACTGCTTCGTTATTGATTCGTTGGTCATTTGACTGCATTGCTTGAACTGCATGTGTTAACAACTTTCAATGAGAAGCCAGAATGGTAATAAATAGGGAACAAGGATCTGGAAGAAAGCGATCGTGGCCTATTTAGAAGCACTACTTTAGGCCACTGGGAGAAAGCTCACAATAGCAGATAACTCGGCCGAGATCGGACATTCTTTGAATGCAAATCTAGAGCCTTACAGCTGTATATCCTCCATGCAAACTTATATAAATGGTGGTCGAAGATAAGAGCAGGAAAGAACAGGAGACTTTTGAGACAATCTTTCAGTGATCAAAAAGAAACCAATACGGTTTGAATCTAGTAAATATATCTAACATTAAAAAGTCACATTCTTGCATTTAAATTTTAGAAACTAAGCATTAGAAGATACATTTGAAATAAGACTTACCCTTCGATTCCGCCAAGTATTATATTCGCCATTTGATGAAATTAATGAAGCTGTTACTAATACTGCATTGAAACTTCGCTCTACTAACACTTTATCTATCATCAGCGTAACACACGCTCTTTAACATGTACAAATCTGTCATTAACAAATGTTAAAAACTGACCGGTGACGTGCACTGGTATTGCCAACGTACCAACAAAAATAATAATATAAAGTCACTTAATAACGGATTCGTTCGCTTGCGAATGACGTGTTTCTCCATGGATATTGGAACCGAATGGAATGATTCTCTTCAATCTATATTAGCTGCCACCAGAGTGCAGTGGATTTGTTGTGGAGGTATGTACGAGACAAACAGAAAGAAATTAGAGTAAATGTCACAAAAAATATAGCCAGCTGCTTTTAACGGACATAAGCATATAAACTAACCAAATGTTCTAGCTATATGTTTCCATAATACACATCTTTTCACTAGGAAGCAGGAGAAGGCTTTCCATAGTATAGGCAGGAGTATAAAATATACCATAATGAATTATTCTGGGACTACCAAGGTGGTGTAGTGGAGAGAACACCGTTTCAAGAACCATCTTCGTCCACAGGGTACTGAAGTTTACCTTACACGACTGGTAGCCTGAGAAGAATTCATTATACCAAGTCACCTTGAAAGTTTCAGATCATACATAAAATATACAAGTTGTGAATATTAACATGATCAATGAGACATAATGATTCTGTAACCTCATTTGAGGG